CTAGTTTCTTCCCCAGCTTGGCCTGTGGCTCCTTGCTCCAGCTCTTCACTGTGGAGAAAACTTTTACTGAAGAATAAGAAATGTGGTAGACTGGAGAAAATTATGATGGAAGCAGGAGAAAGGAGGTAACTGTAAACATGACATGTGCAAGAGGAGGAGAATTGTGTATACTGAGAAATTTGGATCTACCTGTGCTGCTTCCATCCATCTATAATGCCAGAGTTCATGTGACAATTGCCCTCCATTTTCCATGGAAATGGTTTTTCCGTGGTTTTCCCAACCTGATGGAAGAATGTGAGATACCGAGCTTCAGCATTTGAAGGTAGTACCCTGAGAAGAATAAAAATTAGTTCAAAAAGTGCAAAAATGAGAATTGTTTTAAGCAAGAAGACTGTTGCTGAAGTTGCTTGTTGAAATAGATTAGTAGCTTATCCCTGCCTTTCCATCAAAAAGATATCCTCTCTTAAAAGGACAAGACATATGCAATCTTATCCGTTCACAAGAACCATGTCTTGTCCTTGGTGTGACACAAGGCAAAAATACAGATTTCTAATTTCTCCCATTTCATCTGCTTTGAACATAATCCTCAAAGAACCTTGTTGAGACTTTAAACAGGCATTTCGGAAGGAAAAAAAAAAAGAGCAAAACCCAGCATACCCTTTAGCTAAGGAAGCTCTGAGGATTTCTCTTTTGAACTGGATCCAGGTGGTATTTCTACACTTTATTGGGTATATATTGATAATGTCATGCTGACATGAGCTGTACAAGGCCTTCTGCCTTCATTTGCTCTGGTCCAGTTCAGGATGTTGGAAGTCCATAAGGCATCATCTCTAATGATCCAGTCATTTTATCCCCTGTTGTAAAAAAGGGAGGGGGAAAAGAAGGGGGTGGGGGAGAGAAAAATAAAAGGCAAAGATCCAGGTTAGGGGTGATGAATGCAAACTGGCATAGCTCTAGAAATATCTGGATGGGGAGGGAAGGGAGTGTGTGTGTGTGGGGAGGGGCAATGGTTATCCTAATCTGTAATACCAGATTACAGTGAGGCAGATTATTAGTGAGGCAGAAATGATCTTGCTTTGGTGGTTTTATATCAACTGCAGCTTTAGCACAGTTATGAGGAATTGGGGATGTAACTTTGGAGAGAAGGCATGAGTATTCATGCATGAGCTTTATTGGCTATGTTTTGAAGTTATAAATCGGATGTTGTCATGGCAATCTTTAACCAAATCTTTAACCTTGATGAGCAACCGGATTTCTTCAATGTAATGAACAGATAAAGGCAGTCTGGGCTAGGAAAGTTGTCTTCAGAAGTGATGAACAGGGTTTTGTCACATTGGGTTTGCTTCAATAGTTACTGAAGGGCTCAAATGCACTGGTTGTAAAGCAGTCTTCTGGAGCTGTGTGTCAGCAGCTCCTTGCCTTCTGGATAAAGAAATATATTTTAGATAAGGAAATCAAACTGCATCAGAAATTTGCTGAGTAATCTGTTCATAGTCCCGTTGGTTTGCAGCTTCTCAAAGGAACGTGTGCTGCAGGAGCTCTGTGTTTTGGTGCGAACAGAAGTCTGCTGGGTCCTCTCTTGTGGCGAGGCTGGCGCTGAAGGGTATTGCTTTCTTCAGTGCTTACCAGGCCTGATACTCTCAGTAAGAAAACTAAACCCTTCTCTTCATGTGAATGGGTGGGAGAACGGGAAACAAGAATAACTTCCTCTTTGAGTCTTTCACTTTACATCCATGTCTCTTAGAAGAGAAAAATGATGAGTTAAGGATAAGCACGAGCTTTATGTTTTCATCCACCCTGTATTTTGACCATGCACTGTCAGCCTTTCTCATCAGCATGTTTTGAAATAGTTTGTTTGCATTATATTTAGACGTGCACTTTCTCTCTTGTACTTGGTGTAGGACATCTGTCATGTTCACTTCACTAAGGTTCCCTGCTTATAATCTGATCCCCACCCCCCACCCCCCCCATGCATTTGTGCACTGTTAATTAATAGCCCACATTATAACGTGAAAAGGCTGTTATTTATTTAAGATGTATACAGGGAAATACATGGTAAAGTGAGACTACTTGAAGTATTCATCTGGGAAAAAATGAATTCTTTAAAGCATCAGTCTGTTACATGAACATCAGTAGCTGTTCCCCTGCCACATCCAATTTGAGCTTTGCAACTGTTCAAGTATTTCCAGTTTTAACTCCACCAGGGAGTGGTGATTAGAAGTCAGCTTGGGTTTAAGATGGCTGGGGTGCCTATTTGACTAAGATGACAGTTTAAATTTGTTTCCTTCTGTCTAGTCACAGGATGCGAGATATAGGTTACTGTGTAACCGGTTTATGAGTTATTCCTGATATTAGCACCTCTTGAAGCACTGTTTGTGCAGCTGCAGCAGATGGTCAGGATGAGAGCCGAAGGTGATGGGTCAGAGCGGAAGGCATCAAAGTGGGCACAGACTGTGCTTGTGCTAGGATGAGATACCAGAGTATAAATATAACTTCAGCCTAGCATTAGAATAACTTTGGCTGATTCTGCATGCTGCCCCCTTCCCCTCCCCGTATCCAAACAGCATATACATACTATCTAAAGAATGTGAAGCAGTAAACTGACTTACAGTATATATGTGTATTTTAAAGAGCTAATAGAGATATTGCCAAAATAATATCTGCACATTCATGCTTAGTGCATTCATGTTTCTTCCAGTAGTTCCATGGGATAAAAGGTATTATTCACATTTCACAGCCAGTGGGAGAAAGGGAGGAAGAAATTAGTTGCCTTACGTTGTGCTATGAATTGCTGGTGGAATTTGGTTGAGGTACTGGAACTTGCAGTGTTAGGTTCAGTCCTGTAGTAACATTGTTAAGCGCTGTAAAAGCCAACTGGAAAAATTAATCCCTTGTCATAATTGGTGTTTCAGTGACCAGTGGGATCTAGAGCCATCCCTACTTCAGCTCGCCAGTTGAAATCTGCCCCAGGTTGTAAGGTCCAGGGGAGACACCACTGAGCCAGCAGTGGTGTGCGGTTTGGACAAGACGAGCAGATGAGGTCTTCTGTTGGTCTGAAGTCTGAACTGTGCTGTGCATCACAGGAACCCCAGCCATGACTCCCAAAATTGACTTATTTTTGATAGCATTTAGTAAAGAATGAATAAGTGGAGAATATTTGAGCTCCTGTTCCTACCAGGAGAATGCTTTTCTCTGAGGTGTGTTGATGAGGTTATGTGATGAAGCCTGTATTCCTCTTTCACAAATTCACTCCATGGGATTTCAGGAGATACATGTAAGTCTCAAAGGTCTCTCCCTGCTTTCTCTTACTTTCTCTCTTCATCCTTCAGGACAGAATAGGCCTGTCGTGGTGTGCAGCTAACGGACTTAGGCTTTAATCTGTTCAGAAGCCAGGCAGGCTCAGGGAAGGACTTGCTTTCTCCTTAACTACTAGCTGGATAATTGCCAACTGATAATTGTGTGAGATGTCGCTCGTGTTTGTAAAGAGCTGGCTAATACTGAAGTATTTTTTCAGTCAGCGGGTGGCAGGGATGATAGGATTAATGATACTGCATCCTATCCAACACCTCTTTTTTTAAGGCTACATGGCTTAGAGGAATTAAAAGCAGAGTTCGTAGCCATGTTCACATTAGAAGCTCTGAGTGGTTCTTGTGGAGTTCCTTAAGCTTTAATCATAGTGATAGGCACCATATGTGACCCTCTGATACATAGAATATGAAATCCTTAGTTTGACAGCAGCACCACACAAAGTAGGTGTTAGCTTTGTGCATTAGTATGAAAATGTGGAGTTCCTTAAGCTTTAATCATAGTGATAGGCACCATATGTGACCCTCTGATACATAGAATATGAAATCCTTAGTTTGACAGCAGCACCACACAAAGTAGGTGTTAGCTTTGTGCATTTAAGTATGAAAATGTGTGGTGGCTAAAGAATTTTCTTCCCAAATATTCCTGAAGTTGGCCAGAGTTAATGGTGCTAGTAGGACCAGTGTGTTACTCTAGTGTATTGGTCCTAGCTAGTTAGGATGCATGATTAGCAACCCCATGATTCAAGTAAAAATTTGAATACTTTCTATTTTTGAAGCTGCAGATCGTATAGTAATTGAGGAAGGAAAAACAGTGATGTGTAAATGTGACCATAGGAAAAAGGAGTATTGTAGCAACAGCTGTGGAATGAAGTATAACAAACATAGCTGTGCTAATTTTACTTGCTTGTTTTTATTCATACCTGCAATTCAACATTTCACTCATTTTTATCTGTTAGGCTATAAGATCCCTCATTTGTTTAGGGCTCCGTTACAATGAATATTGCAGTAAAGTCCACAGTTTGTCCTGCATGTAATGAACTGATTTTATTTTAACAGCTTTTTCAGGTTGATATAAAATGGGAAAATAACACTGTTACTCTGTCTGCCTAAACCTGATTAAACCTTGGTTGAACAAAAGTGGGAACTGACTTGCCTACTCAATTTCAGGTGCTTTTTGTTGATATTACAAAGAGAATGGTATGGGAAATGATCTTCCATGACAAACTTCTTCTGCAGCATGGAGAAGGGGAGGCATGTAGGTGTAAATATTATATTTGCTTTTACATTGTTTACATTATATTTACAGTATTCAAGGATAGGCTTCCAACCATTCTGGCTGATATATTGTATTATTGTAAGATCAGAAAATAAAAATGGAAAGTTAATGTCGTCTTGCCTTTTACCACTGAAACTTTGGTAATGTAAGTAGGTAATTCTTGGATTTTGTGATGGATTTGTGGACCTTTATTTTCGAGGGAAAATGTACTCAAAGATGTCGATATTCTGAGTGATAAAGTAAATGGAAGAAAGACTGATAAACGTGTGAAAGCTGTTACCTCTTTCCAACTTTAGTTGTTCTTTTGGTTCCTTAGGTTTTTCAGCTCCTGTATCTATATATTAAGGTCTTCATTACAGTACTCTAACTTTGTGAGTAAAGAGTTTTTCTAATTGTTTGCTTTTCTCTTGTTTCAGAACCGAGAGCTCCAGATTATGAGAAAGTTGGATCATTGTAACATTGTCCGATTGCGTTATTTCTTCTACTCCAGTGGAGACAAGGTAAGAATGAAAAACAGGGCAATGCTTCCTGGTAACCATCTGGGGTATAGCTGAACTGTTTGAATTCCTAGAGACAGGAGTGTGAAGATAGTAGACGTGATAACATTGAGAAAATGCTACAGTGCTGCCCAACAGATCATGTTGGAGCAGATCTTTTTCAGTATGGAAGCGTGTGGTCCATGAGGAGTAGTGTTATTAGTATAGCACAACAATAGCGTAACAGATTTGGATACACACCGCCTCTCTTTTAATTTAGTGGAGCACAGCCAGGCTTCATTTGCACATTCTAGCATTACCTTTCCATATGTGCCGAAGTTTTCTAGGATTCAGCGTTAAGCACTCTAGATTTAAAGCACTTACGTGACTTTTCCCAGACCCAGTCTCTGATGCTTCTGTCCTCCTTCCTTGTGTGTCTGTACCATATATAGGCTGAGTTTCAAAGCCCAGAGGAAAGAATAATGTATGAACACGTGATTGTAGCATTTGTCAGAATGCTTATGCTCCAGAAGAAGGAGCAAATAGCTGGATTTAATAAATCTCAAGAAGTAGACACTGCCATTTATGTTTTCTTTTGGTCTAGGCGTAAAAGTTCCTTGGGTTTTTTAAAAAGGGGTTACAAGTTTTTGTTTTAATGTGAAGTTATAACAGCTTCCTTGTTTATGTATGTATCAGCATTTTAGGAATCATAGGAGAATTCGGGATGAAATGGACCTCAAGATGGCATCTGGTCCAACCTCATCATTAAAGCAGGGTCATCCATGAAGTTGAGGGGAGGGGGGGAATCTTTCTGGCCCATATGGGAGTTAATGTAAGCTGTGAGGTGGAGAAATGGGCTGGATGACCTTCTGAACTTCCTCTGATCTTTTTATATATAGTTATAAATATTTACGTAAATTATATAATAATTTATATAAATGTTACAATTTTTCATTTTCTAAAGCAGATTACATCTTTAGTTGTCTTCAGATGGTGGTACACATGTGTCCACAATGCTGTAAAGGATTGTATACAAGAGCTGATAGCTACTAGAAGGCTGTTAATTGCTGTTGCCACAAAGTGGGTCAACAGAATGGGAGAGGGGTCTTTGTGCATTTAAGTATGAAAATGTGTGGTGGCTAAAGAATTTTCTTCCCAACCACTTCAGGGTCTTTGGAGCTAGAGAAGGAGCTGATACCTCCAGGATAAGCTGTTGGTGACAGGTCACTGCAGCCTTGTGCAGTGCACAGAGGGATAATTGGAGGAGCCCTGTTGTTATCTCTCTGAGAGGTGCTTGGGGGGGGACCTGGCCCTGTGCCTATGGAAAGCTTGCAAAACCACTTTGCAGGAATCAAGGAGAAATGTGGTTTAATATTTTTTTTTTTTTATTAGCCCACCCTTCCTTCCCCTTGCCTGGTGATAGCAAGCATTTCCAGTGTTATATGGCCGTTGCTGTTTTGTTGGTAGTGCAGTGTAGTTTTTTAAAATATATTGTGCTCACTTAGTATATAACCAGACATTCCTCGAGTAGCATGAGTACAAGAAGGGAAATACTGTGAAGGAGGGCTTGATTTTGGGGCTTTTTGTTTGCTTTTTTAACCAGCTTGTAACTTGGCTAGAGTGAAGTAAAATTTCATGAGACAAGCAGAAGACAACTGCCTTATCTAATGGCTTTCAGAAACTTCCTGCAAACAGTGAAAGTGTTAAAACTTCTCAGAACGCTGTTCCAGGAGCCTTTGTATAACAGTAACTTGAGTAGAACTCTTTTGGAAATCTTTAACTTGATGTTGAGCTTGAGACTGGATTTTCCACTTTGCTGTTTCAACTCCACGTGGCTGATTCTTGGCAATGCTAGTTTTGTTTTTAAAAATGCGGTCTCTATCCATGGCCAGCAAATCTTAATGCTTCAGTGAGAAGTTTTCTTTCACATTCCTTTCTGCTCTTCTTTCTTCATGCCTCTGCTCTGTGCCTTTGAGATTTCCACTGCTACCCTGTTGCAAAATAGGACAAATGTGAACCAGTCCCTAGGGCAAAGGTGCACCCAGCAGAACATCAGCAGCGGTAACGTTGCAATTCAGGTTGCAAGGTCTCTTTGCAGTTCAGTAGAAAATGATACATAATTGGCTTGCAAGTATTTCCATGTAGGTGGCAGCATGTGAAGATAGCTGTGTATGGGTTTGTTGGCTGCTGTTTGTGAAAAGCTCTGGAGAGCAGCAAGTTGGTGTTCTGAAGCTCATCTGGAAAGGCAGAATAACGCTTCTTATGTTTTTGTCAGTTTGTGAAGCAATAACATCTTTTCCTTCATATTAGCCTCATAATCAAGCTGGCTCTTTGGAGAGTGGAGGGAAAGGGAGAAAAGCATAAGGTCCCATCTGGTAACTAGGAAGGACATGTAGGAAGCAGCTGCAGATTTAGATGCTAGGAACCCAGAGCTTTATATGGAGTGATTCTTGAAGCCAAGTCCAATGGGAAGAGTAATGTAAAAATCCAAGGAAAGTATAGCAGAAAATGCAGTAGCATAGTGATGAGTGGGGCTTGCAATTGTTGTCTGTCTTCATGAAGAACTTGGTATAAACATAGATTCATGGAAGTGGGCTGTTAATTAACTCAAGTCTAGCAGTGATGGGAAAATTTCAGAGGTAACTATTATACTGCTGATCCCCTTAATGAAATAGTTCACCAATGAACTTAATTTTGATACCTACATATCAAGCGTTCTCTTGCATAAAGTTTTTCATGCCGTCGTGATCGCTCTACCTGTTTGTTCCAGCTGTAGTGTTCCTTGGACATCTCCCTTCTTCCCTGGTGCTTAACACCAGTGTCTCTAAGCCCAGAGACCTTTCTTTCTTTTTTTCTTTTTTTTTTTTTTTTTTTTTTTTTGGGCCAATATCCGAGAAGCTTAAATCTGTCTCAATTTAGAGGTACCTCAAAGGATTTCTCCAAATCAGACTGGCACTCTTTGAAAGCCATGTGCCTAATAGTCACTTTAGTTCTTTTTAATCACTAGGCATTTTTAGGCACTGGGCAACTTTGAAACTGGCTTTATTCTAGCAAAACAGGGGGTTTAATTCTTGATTAGAAAACTGGAAACAACAGAAAATAGCATCAAATAGAAAAACAATTCTAAATAACACTTGCTAGTAAGACTATTCCTTAGCTGCGTCGAAGTTGTAGCTAGTTTGTAGATACTTGGAGCTCTCTGTTCGCTTTTTCCAGGGGCTATCCATGGAACTGGTTGAGTGTTTGAGCTCCCTATCTTTTCTTTTTCCTTATGATGAACTCTCCTTTTTATGTCTCCTATTTGCTTAAACTTCCTTCCTGCTTTTGTCAAAAGCAATCCAGTATTAGCAGCATAGAAATCTTGTATCAAATATGGCTTTGACTGATTTCTTCTCCCTTGTTTTAATGTGGTTTAATACTCCCTCTTGTCTGACTCCCTCTTGTCTGAGGATCTTTGAATTGTATTGCCTTTATATAGGTATACCCTAAACAGAGAGGGGTGTGTGTATATATATATATATATACACACACACACATACGTGCACGCGCACACATATATTTATGCCTTTATGTATATGTATATATAAAAGTTGTTTTGAGTACTGACTACATATTAATCATGTTTGACTAATAATTTCTAGTTTGAGAGAGCTCAAAGAGAGCATGTAATATATATTAATATGACAGTTGACAGGCTTGGCATTCAGGTTGCTTCTATAAACTATTTCCTCCTTGGTTCGTTCTTTTTGTAAGTTTATAGACGTTTGTCAGACCTGTTGGATAACCCAGTTCTTTCAAAAGACTGTTCCTTAATGAATTTGCCAAAGTAGATTCTGGTTTCTTTTTTTTTCCTGAAGCTGTATGAGATACCTGATAGCAGGGCACTGACTTTCATAGCTGTAATGTGCTTTTCAGTAGTCCAAAACTTGTAACTGGTGGAATGAACCAGAGGGGAAGGAAGGACAACCAAATAATGGGCTGAGTTGTGTATGGAAGATTCTCTTTGTGAAAGTAGTCACAAGTCTTTTCCATTTCTGTGATTTGTGGTTTTCTAGGTAATCCTTGGAGAAAATGGGTAGGATTATAGGGCTAGCCAACTCTGCTGTGTTTGATAGTTTTGGTATTCTGCCTTAGGTAAGGTCTTGAACAAGATGCCTGGTTTGCCTGTCAGCTTGCCACTGAGAGATCAGACCATATTAGGAAAGTGTACATTTCTGTTTTGATTTTTGCTGCTTTTCCTTAATTTCAGGGACTGCCTTGCATTTAGCATGATATATAAATGATTTACTGAAGCAGGGGGAGATGGTCTTGCTGCCTGTCCTTTTTAGCCTAATTCTGCTGAGAACCTTTTGAGCCATGCTCCAAGGGAGGGTGGACATGGACATACTGAATAATCCCTCTGGCTTCTTTGCTGAGAGTATTCCCCGATGTTTTATAGCATGACCTAACTTCTTAAATCAGTCGCTGCTGAGTAAAATTATTCAGCTGTGTAAAACCTGAAATGAGTTCTTAATCCCCATTTTTTTCCCTATTTCTGGTTTAGATCTTTCTTTGTGGTATTTCATAACTGTTGTGTTTTCTTGTGTGGATGTTTTTGAGTGTTTAATAGTCTGATCAATCTATATCCATGCCCAAAAGAGGAAGAGAAGTCACTGGAGAGATTTGTTCCTGCATCAAATCATATTAAAGTAAATAGAGTTTTTGTTGCATAATTGCATCTCTGGTCATGTCACTCCCCCCCTCCCCCTCTTTAAACGTGGCTTGGTATTCAGAGGAGTCGAAGAAAGCACATAAGGGAGCACAGAGAGATCACAAATAGGCAATATGCTGACTCTCTTTTGGAGGCTGAGCTGGCCCTTCTGCGTGCTCTAATTGATTTCTAGTCTTATTTAGCCTTAGCTGTAAGGGCATGCAGCCAAAAGTCCATGCAGACTCAGGATGGAAATTTACTCCCATAGACTTAGACTGAGGTTTAAAATAAACGTGCAGGAGATACATGCTGAGCTGCATCTATAAGCTGCTGT